TTCTGGTGGGAATTTCGACTCAAAGAATTTCTCGATAAAACAGGGCGTGGCTGGTCACGTGATGCAGTAATGAACAATTTTTAAAATGAAATTGGAAGATTTTTTGGCTATGATTGGCCTTAAATTGTTAGTCATGGCATGTCTTGAAAATACTGTACGTTATACCACCCCCCTTTAAAAATTCTGAAAAATGTGTAATGACCCAGGCCTTAATCTACTTGAGTGTTTTTGGTACAAAAATACAAAGAACAAATACGTTGAAAGTCGAATACGCAATTGAGAGTAAATTTCTTTCAGACAAGTGGATTTGGGGAGTAAAACTACAAGTAAATTTACTCACGTTCACTGCTGGACGCCAAGCTGCAGGTTTTCACTCTCTCGACAGCATGTAGACGACGAGCCGAGCATGTGCAGTAGCGTTTAAGTCGCCTGGGCCACTTCCGGCAGGTCGTCGTCGTCCCATTCGTCGTCAATACTTACGGTCCCTAATGATATACTAATGGCCATAAATTGCCAAGATGTAGTTCTATTGGTTCTACTCGATCTCAGTGCTACCTTTGATACGGTTGAACACTCTGTCTTGCTATCACGTCTCAGTTAAAGCTTTGGAATAAGAGGGACATCGTCCGAGTGCATGATTTGCGTCTTAATTTATCAAATTGTCTTCAGCGTGTTTCACTCAATGGCAGCTGTTCCGACGCTTTCCCGTTAAAGCAGAGTGTTTCACAGGGCTCCTGTTTAATTTAGGACCGGTACTATTTACTCTGGATGCCAGCAAACTGTTTAAGGTGGACAAACGACACTTGCCAAGTGTACATGCTTATGCAGACGACACGCAGTTATACTTGGCCATAAGCCTGATTGTGCCTTGAGTACTAGCGAAGCTATTTCTACTATGGAGCTCTGCGTTTGTGAGATCAGAGCGTGGATGTTGTGTGATAAACTGAAGATTAATAACGATAAGACAGAAGTTATCATTATAGGTACGCGACAGCAATTGGCAAAGGCTCAAGTTGACCGTCTTACAGTTGGGGATGCTCGTGTACCAGTAGTCTATTAGGGTCAAAGATAAGCCCCGTTAGTGCCTAGTAAGTGCTTAGCAAGTGCCTAGTCCGTGACGTCACCCATTGTTATAACCTGGGGAAAAAGTGCCTTCCTCCATACTAATTAAGTGCCTAGTCACTGCCTTCCCGTATATTAATTATGTGCCTAGTCAGTATCTAGCTAGCTGGGCAAAAATGCCTTCCTCCATATATAAACAAAATACACAAAGTAGAACTGAAAACTCTCTTTCAATTTTGTCTCACGCGTTTCCTCCGTTCTATTTTGAGGAAATGAGAAACTATTAAAGTCTTGTAATTTCACGCACTGTTAGTCAGTTAATTATGCGAGTTCACAAGCCCAAAGTTGAATACAAATTAGCTCTACAGGAAAAGCCCAAGGGAGCACCTTGACGTATTATCATTAAACAAATAACTTAACAAGGATCAATTAAAACACGCGACTAATAATTGCTAGCAATAAAATCAGACACAAGATGCCGTTTAAAACAAAAAGAGTCAAATACACAGCGATTTGAAAGAAATCTATTAAAATAGTCAAAGAAAGCAAGCCATGTACTCGTCTACAGATTGTAATTGTACGGGTAGGGTAGGGGATACTATCAAAAGGAAGGGAGGGGTGTCTCAGGCGTGTCTTGGTAAATCCACATCTTTTACATTGGACATTCACAATATGGTCAATTGACAGCTGTAAAAACAGGATAGCTACAGACCAGTATCACATGAACATATGGCAGGCTCATGTGTCAACTCATCAAGGTGACGTTATTTATTTGGAGGTTGTCCGCTGACCAGTTAATTGTTTTATTAGATCGCGATAATGTTCAATCTCATACTTTCTAGTTAGTTTGGGGGCACAGGAAAACTGATAATGCACACATATTGGACATCAATGTCGTGATCAATTGACAGCTGTTATAACAGGGTATCCGCTGACCAGGATCACTTGACGGTATCACGGGCTCAGGTGTCGACCCATCGAGGTCATATTTTTTTGAAGTTATCCGCTGACAAGTTACTAGTTTTCAAACGATCGCCGGGTCAAGTTTAATTTTTTTTTAAAAAATTGATATGAGATACGTCGTGCATTTCTGCCGCACAATTTACATTTAGATTTCAAACTGACTCCGGACGCGAAAATTCAACCAGATATTACAGGCAGGGAAGACAGTTCATTTTGATTTTGCTCACCATGATCACGCGTTGGTCACGCTCTTCGTCCAATTTTTATGCTGTGATTGGTCAAAATTTGACAGCTGAGTTCATGGGCAAAATTTATGCAGCATCTTGAAAACATACTCCGATTTTTTAAAAGTAAGGGGGGGCGATACCCCGGGCCCCTCCCCTAGATCCGCCACTGATTTTGTTCCTACTCAAAAGCAGAAGACAGAACAGAATCTGGGGCCAATACTCGGATTTTCAAAAAACAAACTCCGATTTTGGAAGAAGACAAACTCCGATTCCCAAAAATCAAACCCCCATTTTCAAAAACAAACTCCGATTTTCCAAAAAAAAAACCTCTGATTTTCGATAAAAACAAATTCCGATTTTCAAAAAAACAAACTCCGATTTTCAAAAAAACAAACTCCAATTTTCGATAAAAACAAAGTCCAATTTTCAAAAAACAAACTCCCATAAAGCATTAACATCGATGTCCCTTAAGCTTCCGTAATTATGGCTCGTAAATGTGATCGAAGATGATTGCTATTTTGGGGGTGTACATATGAGGCTATCTTGGGCAGTTTGCAAATTATTTTTCTCTAAAATCACTTAGCCTTTCCCTCAAAAGTCACATGAATGTGCTCTAAAGTTAACTGAATTGTGGAATACAAGTTTATTGTGTGATTTAAATCATAAATTCATTAATGGGAGCCTCGCTTTTAGCCCAGGCTAAATCTATATTAAACTTATTAATCAATTGCCAACGAGCCATCCGAGCGAGGACGCTCGGATGGCGAGGCGGCAGCAGAATAGAGCCGCCCAAGACTCGGCTGTAGGCAGAAAAATTCTCGATCGAGCTTCAAAAAGTGTAACCTCATGTAATGTAGATTCTCCTGAGACCAAGTGGTGTGACAGTTTCAAAAGGCGGTAAACTTTACTTGGCGCACTGAACTTGAATGTGGTACGCTTTTATTGTTTATTCACCTAAATCTGGCCCCGGCAGTCAAGGAAAATGAAAACTTGATGCATTATATTAATTTTAAGGGGCCATTAATGTAAGGTTTTAACGAACAGAAGCTTGTAAAACAACAGTTTAAACAAAGAAAAGTTTCCCATGTGAAACAAGCAATTCTCACCACTAAAAAGGATCAGATTACACGAGGAGACAAGGAAAGCTTGATAGGAAGAATAAAGTCGCTTCTGTTGGAAAGTCTGATGTTGGGGAGAAAATCTAACCAGCAAATGGAAAAATAAGAATACCGTATTTATTCGATTAACCGCCCTGGGCGCTTATTAAATTTTTGGACCTTGACATTGGGCGCTTATTCGAGGCTGGGCGCTTATTAAATTTTCACCATTTTCAGCAAGTGAAGTATGTTTTTTTTGCAACAAAACAATAAATGCCACTAACAAAACGCGAAGAAGTAACAAAGCAAGGTTTCTATAAAATACTCTGAAGAAAACTCCGTTCTCGGGAAAGTCTCTTATCAGAATTTATTCACTCAAGTGGGTGGGGTGGAGGTGAACGCTTATTTGAGTTTGATTGGGAGGAGGAGGGGGTGGGCGCTTATTAACTTTTTCTGCCTTTAAGATGGGCGCTTATTCGAGGTGGGCGCTAATTCGAGGTTGGGCGCTTATTCGAATAAATACGGTAAAAAAGAATTACAAGCCAAAAGCGAACGACAAAGCCAAGAAAACAACGCTATTTTTTTCGAAACCTGGCCGAGTTTGTAATAAAGTGAAAACAAAATACCGACGTGCCGTACATCGCATGTCCTCGAAAACATTTCAAGCACCGCAGCGAATCCTTCTAAAATTCAATCGGGAACTCGACAAAAAGCCTCGGGAAATTTCGGAGGAGGGTTAAATGATTAAACTGCACAAATATTTATCTACAAAGTGAAACCGAACGGACACTAATTTTGTAGCGGTAAGAGAAACGATCATTTTTTATACTTCCCCCTAAAAAAAAAGTATGCCTCATTACACTTCAAACTTTTATATAGCAGGTTCGTAAAGCCACAGGAGTCTGAGGACTGACTCTTCTCCGAACCTTTATACTTGCATAGCACCTCAGTTTCAAGAAAATAATCCTTTCAATAGGAACGGGCTAAGAAACTGTCAAATGTTGGAAAAAAGGAAGCCATTCCTATGCAAAATACGCATGATTTGCTCGTTGGCACTCTATCAATAGGTATACCTAGTTTATTATTAAAAAACAGTCAGTTGACGCCACCTTTCTGGTATGTTTTTATGTCAGCAAACCACCACAAAAGACTTCGTGAATATCAGTCCGGCGCGGAAATTTAAAAGTCAGTTAATTAGTTGACGCCACCTTTCTGGCATGTTTTTATGTCAGCAAACCACCACAAAAGACTTCGTGAAGTCCGGCGCGGAAACAACCGATGCTTATTAATGTCGTACTAAATTTAAAAAATTGTAATTTTCGCTAGCCTTCATTTGGGCAGTTGAAAATTGTACTCGCTTTCTGTTAGTGTTTTGTATTAATGAATAATCAAATATTAATGAATTGAAACAAGTTGTTTCCGTAAGTACAACTATCAGCCTAGGAATTTAGTGACAAAACAATGCAAACAACAAAAATTAAAACGAGAGAACATTAAGAAGTCCCACATTATATTCAATTGATAACTACCTTAATTACTTGCGCGCTGTTGTGAG